TCTGGAAAAGTAAAAATTTCAAGGTCAAAGGTCAAGGTCATCAAATTAGGTCACAAACTGTGCTATCTAAGTTTCTCATAGTTCAAGACTACAAATCAATATTTTTAATTGAAAGTCAAGATATACATTCCTCTAAGGGTTCTACACATATTAGCAATCGACTATTTATTAAAATGTTGTCCCAGTTTTGAGATATAAGAGCTCAAAAACTGAAAAAGGTCAATTTTTCAGAGTTTATAAGGTCAAATTTTAACTTGCTTCAAATTCACCCAATTTTTTTTTGAAAATCATCTACAACTTCTCAGGAGTTCATATTTAACCACAGATTTGACATTTGACCTTTAGTTGACCTTCAGTGACCTTCGAAAGGTCAGAGAAGTTGATTTTTCAAATCGAGTTTTTGGATTCAAATTTAGCGTTAGCCTAAGCATCAAAGACCTACTGAGCTCTAAAACAGTAATCTTTTCAAGGTCAAGGGTCACGGTTATCAAATTAGGTCAAAGGTCAAAATCTAGGTCAAATCTAATTTTTTTTAAGTTTCTCAAGTTTGTCCTTATACTTCATTATTTCTTGCGATGAATTAAACTGAAACTACATTTTAGTATTTTCTACAAATTGTTGACTAGATGTCAGCATTAAATTTTTACCGTTTTTGAGATATTTGACGTCAAAAAACGGTCAAAAAATGTCATTTTTCAACTTGCTTCAATCTGACCAATTTTTTTTTTAAAATCATCTACAAATTTCCATGAGTCCGAATCTGACCTCAGATTTGACCTTTGACCTTTAGTTGACCTTCAATGACCTTCGAAAGGTAAGAAAAGTTGATTTTTCAAATCGAGTCTTTGGATTCAAATTTAGGTCAGCCTAATTACAAAAGACCTACTGAGGTCTAAAAAAGTAAAACTTTTCAAGGTCAAAGGTCAAGATCATGAAATTAGGTCACAAACTGTGCTATCTAAGTTTCGCAAAGTTCGAGACTACAAACCAATATTTTTAATCCGAAGTTGAAATATACACATTCCTCTAAGGGTTCTACACATATTAGCAATTGAATATCTAATAGAAATTTGTCCCAGTTTGATATATAAGAGTTCAAAAGTTGTAAAAAGGTCAATTTCGAAATTTTTCAAGGTCAAATTTAAACTCGCTTCAAATTGACAAAATCTTTTTTTGAAAATCATCTACAAGTTTTCAGGAGTTCACATCTGACCTCAGATTTGATATTTGTCCTTTAGTTGACCTTCAAATTGTCAAAAATGCCTAAGAGGGCCTCCGTGAGATTGCTTGCAATCTTCAAAAGTCTAGTTCTTATTATTATTCTTTCAAAGCATTTTTCTTCTACTTCCTACTAGCTTTCAACTTTCTACTATATGCTCCTACTAGATACCTGGTTTGATCTTGATGGGAAAATATTTCATATCTAGGTCAAGGTCAAAGGTCAAAATCTAGGTCAAATCAAAGTTTTTTTTCAAGTTTCTCAAGTTTGTCCTTATACTTCATTATTTCTTGCGATGAATTAAACTGAAACTACATTTAAGTATTCTCTACAAATTGTTCACTATATGTCAGCATTAAATTTTTACAGTTTTTCAGATATTTGACGTCAAAAAACGGTCAAAAAAGGTCATTTTTCAACTTGCTTGAATCTGACCAAATTTTTTTTTAAAAATCATCTACAAGTTCCCAGAAGTCCAAGACCCTTAGTTGACCTTCAGTGACCTTCGAAAGGTCAGGAAAGTTGATTTTTCAAATTGAGTCTTTGGATTCAAATTTAGGTCAGTCTAATTACAAAAAGCCTACTGAGGTCTAAAAAGAAAAAAAATTCAAGGTCAAAGGTCAAGGTCATGAAATTAGGTCACAAACTGTGCTATCTAAGTTTCTCATAGTTCAAGACTACAAATGAATATTTTTATTTGAAAGTCAAGATATACATTCCTCTAAGGGTTCTACACATATAAGCAATTGACTATTTATTAAAATTTTGTCCCAGTTTTGAGATATAAGAGCTCAAAAACTGAAAAAGGTCAACTTTCAGAGTTTATAAGGTCAAATTTTAACTTGCTTCAAATTCACCCAATTTTTTTTGAAAATCATCTACAACTTCTCAGGAGTTCATATTTAACCACAGATTTGACATTTGACCTTTAGTGACCTTCGAAAGGTCAGAGAAGTTGATTTTTCAAAAATTTAGTTTTTGGATTCAAATTTAGGCTTAGCCTAAGCATAAAAGACCTACTGAGCTCTAAAACAGTAATATTTTCAAGGTCAAGGGTCACGGTTATCAAATTAGGTCAAAGGTCAAAATCTAGGTCAAATCTAATTTTTTTAAGTTTCTCAACTTTGTCCTTATACTTCATTATTTCTTGCGATGAATTAAACTGAAACTACATTTTAGTATTTTCTACAAATTGTTCACAGATGTCAGCATTAAATTTTTACCGTTTTTGAGATATTTGACGTCAAAAATGTCATTTTTAACTTGCTTCAATCTGACCAATTTTTTCTTAAAATCATCTACAAGTTCCCATGAGTCCAGAGCTGACCTCAGATTTGAGCTTTGACCTTTAGTTCACCTTCAATGACCTTCGAAAGGTAACAAAAGTTGATTTTTCAAATTGAGTCTTTGGATTCAAATTTAGGTCAGCCTAATTACAAAAGACCTACTGAGGTCTAAAAAAGTAAAACTTTTCAAGGTCAAAGGTCAAGATCATGAAATTAGGTCACAAACTGTGCTATCTAAGTTTTGCAAAGTTCGAGACTACAAACCAATATTTTTAATCCAAAGTTGAAATATACACATTCCTCTAAGGGTTCTACACATATAAGCAATCGACTATCTAATAGAATTTTGTCCCAGTTTGAGATATAAGAGTTCAAAAGTTGAAAAAAGGTCAATTTCGAAATTTTTCAAGGTCAAATTCAAACTCGCTTCAAATTGACAAAATCTTTTTTTGAAAATCATCTACAAGTTCTCAGGAGTTCTCATTTGACCTCAGATTTGATATTAGTCCTTTAGTTGACCTTCAAATTGTCAAAAATGCCTAAGAGGGCCTCCGTGAGATTGCTTGCAATCTTCCAAAGTCTAGTTATAAGTAACAATCTAAGTGATACAGCACACTTTAAGGAACTTTTAAGACCCAAAGCTAAGAAAATAAGCCTTTATATTAATACAACCCTTAACAAGCACTCTAATATACAACGATTATTTAAATTTGGAGATACTCTTCACAATAATGTGTTCATTCCAGCAATTTTACATGGGTGTGGTATTCTTACTTTTGAATCAAAATCCAAATGTAACGATATGAATTCTTTCCAATATAACATTGGAAGATCAGTTTTTAATCTAAATATGAAGCCTGCCAGGGAAGCGGTTATTGGTGATTTAGGATGGCGTCCGATTTTGAATACCATTGACAAAAGAATAATAGATTATTACCTTCATCTACAGAAGCGCATGGAAAAAAGTACACTTTTCAGAAATATATTTATGTAAATGTTTAAGGGGTTTGAAGATAAAAAGATTTCCTCATGGCCCTATATTAAATCAATTTTTGATACTCTAATTAAACATGGCTTAGGCAGTTGTTTAAAGTCAACTGATCAAACTTGGTATAAATCCTTTTTAGAAATCTCTAATGAAATGAAGAATACAGACTTTTTCGGAGCTATAGAAATGAGAACTTCACTGAAAACTTACACTGTTCTTAAGAAACATACTTTTAAAGAGAACTACCTCCAAGATGACATCGATTTCTATTGCTCTAGGTTAAAATTCATGGCAAGAACTGGGTGCTTTAACTTGGAGGAGGATAATAAACGATGGAAGAAAAGTAATGGAATTTGCCTTCACTGTAAAAGTAATGACACTGAAGATTTAATCCACCGATTTATTATATGCCCTAAGTTCATTAATGAAAGGTTACAATTTATAAATGATATAACTTCAAAATGTGACGCTCTTTTAGTAGCTGAATTCATCTCTCTCTCTCCTGAGGAAAAGCTAAAATACATGTTAGGGGATGATGTCTTTGGAATTCGGGGGAAAGAACAAGGAAGAATGTTTGACAAATGTTTTAAAAGGTTTTTAGAAACAGTTTATATTAAATACTCAAAATGAATGTTTTTAGTAAGTTGTAATAACTGTTTTATCTTGTACATTCGACGCACCTTTGCATTGCAGAGCGTGCCACTGTTTCAAAAGTGTAGATCGAAATAAAAAAATAAATAAATAAATAAAAATATAGAATATATACTGTATCCTGAGTATCCTGAAGTAAAAAAGGGTTGGTATCGAAATGGCGAACTGAATTGAACACATGTTTATCTGAACCAGTCATCAAAAAATCTGAAAATTTTACACATCGTCAATTTTTTTTTAAAAGTATCTTGTTAATGAAATAAAAGGTTTACTTAATTTCATCTATTTGGGAGATTTTTGAACACATTTTGTTAAATGAACCAAACTTTCCTCAGTATAACTTTAATATTAAGAGGTCTAAGAAAATGTTGTATATGTTATTTTGTTCCAACAAGGTTCGGAAAGCTATTTTATCTCATTCTCAAGAATTGGTAGAAAGGATCAAAAGACAATTGCATTAAAAAACAAAAATGAGCAAAAACATTTACATTAAATATATAATTATAAACAGGGTAAAACTGTATTTAAACGGCCGTAACCCTGACAAAATGAGTGGAAGGGGATGATGTGATTTCTGCAAAAAAATTCAAAAAAACGCAAGATTTATTTTTTGGTAAGAAAATTTAGTGTAAATAGCTGAATGAATAGACACATGGTAAGGTAAATCTGTTATGCTACTATGGTATGCGATCTATGTGAAAAGCGCAACGTCACCAGCATACAAAAGTCAATATTTTTTCCTATTAATCAACCAATGAGTGGAGGGGGATAATGTTTAGATTAGTACATCCACCCTCCACTCACTATATTATTTGATTATTTTTAAAACGTTCTGGAACTCGATTTACGACCGTAATTGCTTTCTCCCATTCTAGGAATCAGTGGAAGTGGTAAGACAGAGATAGCAAAACGATATTGGCAAGAAAATAAAGCAAAATATGAAGTGAGTTGGTTCGTACACAGTGCTACAGAACAGGATATTTATAATGGCTTGAGACTGTTCAATCGATTCGATGCTGTTGATCCAGACCTTGCGTTCTTACTGGACGAAATCAACACCTTCATGAGAAAGGATACCAGCCGAAAATTCCTTTTGATATTTGAAGATGCCACAGAAAAAACTCAACCGATCATTCAGCGCAACTTCCAAGCAGCTAAGAATATAACAGTGATTTTAACAACTCAAACACGCCAATTTAGTAACTCTGGTGTCTTCCAGGAAGTAAAGGGTTTTACACAAGATGAAATCTTGACATTTCTGAAAGACGTAGATGATACGCCCATGCTCAAGAAGAAACTTGGAGATCAAATAAGTCGATTACCATCTGCAATGGCGTGTGCAGAGTACGATATAAGAAACCAGAAGACTTCGATAAATGATTATCTAAGAAGCGTAAATGATGTCGATATTCGTGTCATGCTCGAGAAGAGAACACAAAACGCCCTTGGATATGATTATAATACGAGAGGCTTCGTAAAAGCTCACGTTATGAGTGTCATGAATATGATGGATGAATTGAAAAATGATAACGATATTGCGGACGACATTGCAACTGGACTTTGTTTGGTTTTCAAATCGATAGCATACATGGACTCTAAAGCGATCCCCGTTTTTATTCTGCAAACGCTTTTACGAATTTTTCTCGGCAGGATCAAACCACTGGCAAAACATCAAATTGAACACTATGTTGAGCATTTGATTAACATGATGCTCAATCGATTTTATGCTACCGTATTCAAAGAGCATGATAATCGGCTGATAGACATCCACGATCTAGTACAGTTAGCAACTCGTTCAATACACGCGGATGCTCATGTTCGCCACGATCCACTCGAAAAACTTTTAAAAGCACTCTATTGCTACTTTTCCAAGGATACGGGATACATGAGATACTACAAGAAAAATCTTCTGTTGATACCGCACGTTGAGAAAGCTTTGGATCGAGCTCATCAATTGAGGAGTGACAGCGAACTTGAAGGTCCTGGACAGAAACGAACATTTCTAGCATTTCAGGAGATAGCATTGCTAGATATACTTGGATATGTGTATGCTAAATGTGGGCAATTCATACAATCGGAAGAGAAGCTTAAAAGAGCAATAGGCTTGTTTAGTTCCGTTCTTGGTGTCAGCGAAGAAGACCTTATCAAGACCCCCGCAGAGAATATATATGATAAACTGACAGAGGTGATTGGTGCTCAGGAACCAGATTTCAGTGTTTTTGACAACTTTATACTTGGAACAGTTTTAAATCAAGCCGATATCGACCAGCTAAAACACCTATCTGACAGATTACCAAAGCTCGGAACCCATATCGATAAGGACAATTACAACAAGTTGGTTGAAGACGGTCTGGCGATACCCGAGGAAAAGTTGAAACTTGTTTATGTACAGGAACTGTTTGCCTCTGTGTTTTATGCGTATGGACGTCTGTATTTTTACGGCCGAGAGAAATTCCACACCGAAATGAATATAAATAATGCCAAAAAGCTTATTGACTGTTTACACCTTGCCCATAAAGTTTGTAGAGTCATCTCTGAGAAAAGTGGAGTCGATGTCTTCCACACTGTTCTTACAAAACGAAGTGCGTTATTTTATCTTTACTCTGAAGACAAAAACACAGATGGTACAGATAAAACGCGGGAAAAAGCACTAAGTGATCTGTATGAAGGAAAACAAGATTACGAACAGCTGGTATCCGAGGGAATGTCAAATCAATGGTTTCAATGGGGCATTCTAAAGGTGGTAAAGAATGACCTTCACCATAGCAGCATATGTCGGGAAAAGCTTCTCCATATCTGTCGGAAATTATTGGACAATGAAACGGACGTGACGAAAAGAAGACAAATTGAGGAGTGTGGAAGAACGACCTTAGAAGCTCTAAAAAAAGACATAAGGAATCAAGAACAAGGGGATTTGACACTGCAAAGAGGGGCGGATTATATGTTGATCTGTGCTGAGTTCAACCACACTTTGGGAGATTGGTCCCTTGCCATGGATGACTATACGGATACCATTAAAAGATACAAGGTACTCGCTTAAGTTTATATTGTTATGTATTTAGAAATTATTATTGGCGTCAATTCCATTGCTATTGCTGTTGCTATGGTGACAATTGTTTTGGGTAGGCGGGGCACCCTGTTTTAAGTGGCGTTTGAAGATAATTTGTAGAGTTTTTCTACATGTTGTAATACCTCCAAATATGTCAAATTCAAATGTAAGACTACATTTTAACACATAGTCCGTCAAATTAATCGACACCAAAGTCAATGCAGTTGAGGCAATGTTTCACTCCGTCCTTAAAGAAGTGCAACATGGCAGCATTCAATGACTGCAAACTGCCATTGAAAGCTTTAATGATGGCCTTATTGCTATCCAAACGGACTCTCTGTAACAACATCTTTGCATTTGGAAAGAATTTAGTCACGAGGGGCCAGGTCTGGGGAATAGTGAGCCTGGGGTAGTTGTGTGGCCATGGAAAAGGCTTAATCTACTTATCTTCGGTATTTGTTGGCTATGTGGAGGTGGATCACTGTCATCATGCCAGTAAAATGCCGCTTCAACAACATTTGACTGGATTGAAACTGACTGAATCATGACCATCATTATGACAGATATACCCTTGATATCTTTGTGTCGATGACTTATAAATGAGACAATGGAGCGTAGTTACACTGTGATAATACATAAAACAAATTATTCAGTCTGGCATAAAAAATGTTAGGTCATTTGGAGGAATACAGCACGTAAAACCTCTACAAACCATCTTCCAAAGCCGCTTACAAAAGGGTGCCCCGCCTGCCCAAAACAATCATCACCATAGCAACAGCCATAACAATGGCATTCACGCTAACCAATTAGTCTTCTCTAATCTTCTAATCCTTGATCTTCTCTAATAGGTTAATAGACGGGTAGGAAGGAGGGTTCCCATGCACCCGAAAGATGTATTTTTTTAATGTTCATTTTTTTAATCCTAAAGGTCCATACTAAAGATTTTTGCATGTTCTCAGAATGAAATATTGTCCCATGGTATCCATTGGCGGCCATCTTGTCGGCCATCTTGAATTTTTGAAAAAGTTGATGTTAATTAGCACAAAGTACAATAACTTCCACAGTTTTGAGAATTGAAAGCTGTAAGTGGTACCAAAATGAAGCTATTATAGTATCCCATATTATAAGATGTAATAATTATGCATAAAATTTGACATCATTAATCGTAATTTTTGCTTCTTTACAACGGTATTGCGCAATACCTTGCTGCCTGATTGACCAGTCTTAGTCATCCATGAACACAAATGAATTTAAATATATAGGTACATTAATTTTGAACATACTTGCAATTGAAAGTTTTGGAAAAACATTGTCAGACGCTAAGTTATAACACTTCACATGATTATGTTACTGAAAAGGGGTGGTACTTCTTGAGAAAGAATTGATGTTAATTATTTCAAGGTACAATAACTTTCAAAGTTTTGAGAATTGAAAGCTGTAAGTGGTACCAAAATGAAGCTATTATAATATACTTATAAAAATGCAATAATTATGCAAATTTTCCCATTTGCATAATATGTGACAACCTCTATCATATTTGGCTTTTTCCAATGGTAACGACCAATATCTCTCCCACTGGGTAACAGTCTTGGTTATTCATGAGCACTTATGATTTTGAATATATAGGTACATTAATTTTGAACATATTACAATTGAAATTTTGAGAAAACTTTGTAAGAAATTAAGTGTTGACACTTCACACGATTATGTAACTGAAAAAGGGGGGGGTGGCACTTCTTGTTCAAAATGTTAAATTTTAAACACTAATGTCAACTTCAAAGGCTGAAGCTGCTCTAGCAGAGTCATGTCAACTTCAAAGGCTGAAGCTGAAGACATGTTAGAAGTGGTAGTGGTTAATAATGCCTAGATCAAAGAATCGCAAGATAGTTATTGGAGATAGGCCCAGATCAAATTATGGGCATCATCACCCTCAATCATGACGCCATCTGTATTGTCCATCAGTGGGAGCTGTAACCCAAATACTGAGTATATGATTTAATGTATGTGTCATTCGGTTGCCGTGCACTTGGGGCAGTTGGTGGTTTCTTCCTTGCCCCAAAGTCTGAGGTTTGATGGAGTTGAGACCAGGTTATGGAAAGCTCTTAATAGGAAATTGAGCCCCCTTGGTCCATGGACCAAAGGTCATTCCATTTCAAGTAGTGCTGAAGTGAAGGTTCCCAGGTAATGTCAAAAATCTGGAGAGGCCACTTAAATTGGGGAGTAATTTCATAACGCCCCGATATATGACTTGAGTCAATAGCTTTAAGCCACTTGTCCAGGCTACTTGAGTCTTCAGCTGTATTGTTCAAACCACGCAAGGTTTTGTCATAGTTCTGCTCTAGACATTTGATTCTTTTATCTTGCACTGTTGGTATTTGCTTGCCCTTTCTTTTGAGTGCATTGGAGAAAGCTTGCCATCAACCAAAACCATGCTTCTTGACCTGGTTGGTTTTTAACTTCATGCAAGTCCAGTTTGCAATTCTTTCCATAGCTAATAGAACCCATCTGGTACCCACTACTGAATTGGTCATAACTGTGATGTCATCCATGAAAGCTCTGCGTGGTAGGTGTTTTGCACCTTCATTTGCTTGTGGAACCTTACACTGCATCATCCCTGCCTTGAGCAGTAAAATTCATACAGTGCAGTCTGCCACTATACCTTTTCCGAACTCTGCTAATTAGTGGTATAATTGCCAAATGTATTGTGCAACTTCAAGGAATTTGTGTGTCCCATTGTCAGATTGTCTGCATCTGTTGGTTTTGGACGTGAAAGTGAACTGGTACCTCTAGTATCAGTTGGTGAGGGACACTAGGTAGGCCTTAGGTCCAGCCAAACTACTGATTCTCTTTCTTGGCTTCCTTCACAAGTTGGCTTATTGCTGCTATATGCACCCTTGGTGTCTTGGGATACCACTTTTCTGAATGCTTGGTAGGCCAGTAGGAAATGACTGCGAGGCTTGACCACAATGGCCCAGAAGATCTTTCCCTCAGCATCCAATAATGATTTCTCCCTCAAATTTTAGCTCCTTTGGAATGAAGCACCTTTCCGCCAAAGCCCAAGTCCTTGCTAGATTTTTCTTGTTCTGGATGCTTATTAGCAATCGCCAACAGCTTTCGGCAGTTCTTGTACACCCTGTATGTCACACCTGTTGGACCTGGGGCTGAGCCTTCCTGATGATTGTTCTTACCTCATCTAGATTGAAATCTGACGTGTCAAACGGTTTTGATGATAAATCTGGTGGGAAGTAAATTAAAAAATTATCCAATGGCACCTCTCGATCTGGGTCATTGTGTGGTGCCCAAGTATTTGCTTCTGCTTGATCCTGCGTACATGCCATCAGGGCACTCTTTGGTTCCCTAGCAAGTTTGATGTGAGCCTATAGAGATTTTCAAAGAATGTCTTCCTATGCTTCTCTTTTCCTGTGTGTTTCTATCTTCCCTCTTGTCTTAGCCTCTTCAAATAGGTCTTGGATTTTTAAGCTGCTGATGAGATATTTTAGTCGGTCTCTTCTGAAGTTTCTTGAAGAGGTCAGTTGAGAGTCCAGTCTGATGTCTTGGATAAAACATTGGACTGGAGTAGAGGCTTAATACATATTGAGTTAATTATAGAGCTTTAACAACTAAAAACTGTGGTTACCCATTTCAGTTCATTGCCTATCCTAAAATGATATGGGGATAGGTGGTCATTCGTATCTGTATAGTACTTAGTCCAAAAGCGATACAGATTATATATCTTTGGCTGAAATTTAAATGTCTGCCAAACAGACCAACACGAATTTCTTAACAAGCTAGGAATAAGGGACATCACCGGGCTACTTTCTATAAGTCAAAAGCTATATTTTACACCCAGGGGGTTCACTGTATGTAATCCTTGACAGGGGCTACCTCTTTTAACATTTGGTATGGCAATGGATCCAAATTTTAGGATCTGGAATGAGAATGCCACAAAATTATGACTTTTAAGGTATGACAATGGTCAGATTTTTCTACTTTGTGGTACAAGAATTGTCATGGAGAATATGTTACCTCTCACTTGTTGTATGGGATTGGTCTAATTTTTCCAAATGTCCTTATTTGAGGTTGTTTTGGATCATTTTCCTTAAAGTTCTGCCTTCTTCCAGGGGCTTTAGACATTTTGCATTCCCTTGGTCTTATATTCTTGGGATACATATATTTGGAATGGCATTAGACCTATACAGTGTTTTTGGACATTTGGTATAGCATTGGTCTTATATTTGGATATTGGTATTGCTTTTTGGCGTTATTTTGGTTGGTATGGGTACACATTGAAATTTGACAGATTGGTATGGGAACATAATGATATCTGAGGGCTCAGCCTAGGATCCCTACAGAATTGTGTATTCAGTGAACCCCTGTGTATTTCGCAGATGATACATTGACTATATAATAACATTACAGATTTTCAACAAGTTCCACACCCTTTTCAGAACAATAATCATTTGAAAGGTCAAACCTCAATTTTTGACAATGTTTTTCTAAAACTTTCAATGCAAATATGTTCAAACTTTCAATTGCAAATATGTTCAAAATGAATGTATACATTTAATATATTTTGTATTCATGAGAGACCAAGACTGGTCACTCAGAGTAAAAGGCAATATGCATTACCGTTGAAAAAGGGCAAAAATAATGATTGATGTCATATTTTATGCAAATACGGTAATTTACATAATTATTGTATCTTATAATGCAAGATATTGTGATACCTTCAGTTTGGTACCACTAACAGCTTTCAACTCTCAAAACTCTGAAGTTATTGTACTTTGAAATGATTAACATCAATTCTTCCACAAGAAGTGTCACGCCCCTTTTCAGTAACATAATCATGTGTCTGACAATGTTTTTCCAAAACTTTCGTTTGCAAATATGTTCAAAATTAATGTACCTATATATTTAAATTCATTTATGTTTATGAATGACTAAGACTGATCACTCAGGCAGAAAGGTATAATGCGATACTGTTGTAAAGA